AAGATTTCACTGCAAACCTCAGGAAGAATTGTAAGTACTGATTCAACTCATTAATGGTTTATATCGAAGCTGAAGCCCCAGCATAAACCACAAGCTTAGTTTTATCAGTAGGTCCTCTGCTAGAAGCACTCGCAGCTTGAGAAGCGTGTGCATCCTCCTTTTACCTGCCTTGTATGGGCCACTAGGCCTTCTGCAGTGTTCCTCCATTCTTATAAGAACATAAGAAAGAAAGAGCACTGCAGCAGGCCTACTGGGCCATGCGAGGGAAGCCCAACTCACACCTACCTACACCCATTCATGTATTTATCTAACCTATTTTTAAACCTACACAAAGTTTTAGCTTCTATGACGGTACTCGGGAGTTTGTTCCACTCACCCACAACTTTGTTACCAAACCAGTGCTTTTCTATATCTTTTCTAAATCTAAATTTTTCCAACTTGAAACCATTGCTCCGAGACCTGTCGTGGTTAGTTATTTGAGCATATGTCATTTCTTTTATTTATTTCCGTTTTTCATTTATACATCTCAGTCATATCCCCCCCCCATTCTACGCCTTTCTAGAAAGTGCAGATTCTTATGTTCTTAAAAAAAAGCGATTGTGTGTAGGAAAGCGGAAGCGGAGAATTAGAAGCTAGGTTAGAGTAACGTGTTGTTGTGGGTACTGCCTGAGGGTAGGAGCGGGCAGGTAAGGTGCAGACCAGCAGGTGGGTACCCAGGTAATGAGCAAGGTGAGACCTGCTTCCCACGAGTTTTTAATAACCAGTTTACCTGTGCACACCTTCCGGTGGTCTACTTAGTTGCACAGTACTCTACCTGAGAAGCTCTTAACCTTACGGGTCCCAGAACTGTGGATGAGTGGAGCAAGAGAACCTTAGAAATGGAATGGTTATGAAGGTAAAGCGGGGAAAAGATACCAGTGTCCTGAACTGTACATAAGTGTCTTTTTCCACTGCAGCAGGCCTACTGGCCCATGCTAGGCAGGTCCAAGTCATCTACTAACCCAAGTCAGTCAGGTCCAAGTCATCTACTAACCCAAGTCAGTCAGGTCCAAGTCATCTACTAACCCAAGTCAGTCAGGTCCAAGTCATATCCACCATTTAAGTAGGAAAAAGCACTGCAGCAAGCCAACTGGCCCAAGCCAGGGCAGTGAGTGTGAGGCCAGAAGGCCTCCTGTAGAGCTCTGCCTTTATCTTCAACACACTTTGAGCTGAAGGAGCCGGATGGGTTTGGCGCTTCCTATAAATAATAAGAAAGTTTTGAAGGTAATTTAGGTTGTTGTAATGAAGCAGAGGATGTTGTGCTGAGATGTCTCAGCTGTGTTCTCTCAGCACCAGGTGTGTTCTCTCAGCACCAGGTGTGTTCTCTCAGCACCAGGTATGTTCCCTCAGCACCAGGTGTGTTCTCTGAGCACCAGGTGTGTTCTCTCAGCACCAGGTGTGTTCTCTCAGCACCAGGTGTGTTCTCTCAGCACCAGGTGTGTTCTCTCAGCACCAGGTGTGTTCTCTCAGCACCAGGTGTTCTCTCAGCACCAGGTATGTTCCCTCAGCACCAGGTGTGTTCTCTCAGCACCAGGTATGTTCTCTGAGCACCAGGTGTGTTCTCTCAGCACCAGGTGTGTTCTCTCAGCACCAGGTGTGTTCTCTCAGCACCAGGTGTGTTCTCTCAGCACCAGGTGTGTTCTCTCAGCACCAGGCGTGTTCCCTCAGCACCGGGTGTGTTCTCTCAGCACCAGGTGTGTTCCCTCAGCACCAGGTGTGTTCTCTCAGCACCAAGTATGTTCCCTCAGCACCAGGTGTGTTCTCTGAGCACCAGGTGTGTTCTCTCAGCACCAGGTGTGTTCTCTCAGCACCAGGTGTGTTCTCTCAGCACCAGGTGTGTTCTCTCAGCACCAGGTGTGTTCTCTCAGCACCAGGTGTGTTCTCTCAGCACCGGGTGTGTTCTCTCAGCACCAGGTGTGTTCTCTCAGCACCAGGTGTGTTCTCTCAGCACCGGGTGTGTTCCCTCAGCACCAGGTGTGTTCTCTAAGCACCAGGTGTGTTCTCTCAGCACCGGGTGTGTTCTCTCAGCACCAGGTGTGTTCTCTCAGCACCAGGTGTGTTCTCTTAGCACCAGGTGTGTTCTCTGAGCACCAGGTGTGTTCTCTCAGCACCGGGTGTGTTCTCTCAGCACCAGGTGTGTTCTCTCAGCACCAGGTGTGTTCTCTCAGCACCAGGTGTGTGTTCTCTCAGCACCAGGTGTGTTCTCTCAGCACCGGGTGTGTTCTCTCAGCACCAGGCGTGTTCCCTCAGCACCAGGTGTGTTCTCTCAGCACCAGGTGTGTTCTCTCAGCACCAGGTGTGTTCTCTCAGCACCAGGTGTGTTCTCTCAGCACCAGGTGTGTTCTCTCAGCACCGGGTGTGTTCTCTCAGCACCAGGTGTGTTCTCTCAGCACCAGGTGTGTTCTCTCAGCACCGGGTGTGTTCCCTCAGCACCAGGTGTGTTCTCTAAGCACCAGGTGTGTTCTCTCAGCACCAGGCGTGTTCCCTCAGCACCAGGTGTGTTCTCTCAGCACCAGGTGTGTTCTCTCAGCACCAGGTGTGTTCTCTCAGCACCAGGTGTGTTCTCTCAGCACCGGGTGTGTTCCCTCAGCACCAGATGTGATCTTTAATCATCAGGTTTGGTCTACCTGTATGGTTAGGTGGGTGGTATTCCTATGTTGGTGGTCGTTGCTCAGTGGTGTTGGTAACTGTGTATTGGTGGTGGCTGTTGTGTGGTGGTAGTGGAAAAATAGTGGTTGGAAGATGTACAGAGAACCTTCACAACTTGTATAAACTCAAGCACTTAAATTCCTGGGAGTGTTTGTACTCCCTAGAACGTAGGAGAGAAAGCTACATCATAATCTACACCTGGATGATACTCGAGGGATTGGTCCGAAACCTGGACGCCGAAATTACTACTTATGAATGCAAGAAGCTTGACAGATAGTGCAGGATATCTCTAATAAAAAGCACTGAGAGAAAACTCAATAAGTGTTGAGGGGCCACGACTCTTCAACACCCCTCATGTATAAGGGGAATTACCAAGAATCACCTAGCTGTCTTCTAGAGGAAACTCAACAAGTTCCTCGAAAACAGTTCCTGATCAGCCGGGTTGTGGTACATACATTAGACTACAGGCGGCGGACACTAACAGCTTGATCGATCAGTAAAGAGGCCTGGTCTGGGAACGGGCCGCGGGGGCGGTGATCTCCGGAAGCGACTCCAGGTAAATGGAGTGTTGGTGGTGTCCAGGTGAGTGGTGGTGGTAGTTGTGTGGCAACGTTGGTTGTTGAGTGGTGGTGGTGATAGTTGAGTGGTGGTGGTGGTAGTTGAGTGGTGGTGGTGGTAGTTGAGTAGTAGTGATGGTGGTGGTAGTTGAGTGATAGTGATGGCGGTGGCTGTGGGGGTAGTAGTTGAGTGGTGGTGGTAGGTGAGTGATGGTGGTAGGTGAGTGATGGTGGTAGGTGAGTGGTGGTGGTGGTGGTGGTATCTTGCAGGTTACTGCCCGTCAGTCGTCAACATGCCGCCACCTTAATCATAAACCTTAACAGTTATAATCCTTATTGATAAAACTCAAGACAGATCTTACTGATGTCTTAAACGTTGATTGAAGCAACGCCTCCGTTACCTTCCTAAATCGAATATGTAAATGGTATACAGTACCGACAAGTTGATAAGACATGTGCAGCAGTAAATATACCTGTTGCACATATGTCTTTCTTATCTACTCTCCTAAATTCAAAGAAACGCGTACTATTATTTCCTACTCTTCTCACTGATCATCTAAGTTCGTCTCGCTTTACATTTAATCTGAATTGTATCCTATTTTGCCAACATTATCGTTTATCCTGAGAGTTCTGTCTTACCCGCACTCAGTGTGATGGATTCCCAGTGTTCTACTGTTAGCTTAGAATACATGTTTATGACTCTTAGATAGTTATCAGTGCTCTGCCTTTCCCACTGACTTTGCTGTTGCTTCTCATCTGTCTTTTATTTATGGCCCGTCTCTCATCACTCATCTCTGGCCCGTTTTTCATCCATGGCTCGTCTCTCATCCTTTCATCTCTGACCCGCCTCTCATCCCTGGCCCGTCTCATCTCCCTCATCCTCTGGCCCCTCTCTCATCCCTGGCCCGTCTCATCCCTCTCATCCTTTGGCCCCCCTCTCATCTTCTGGCCCGTCTCTCATCCTCTGGCCCGTCTCTCATCTCTGGCTCGTCCCTCATCGCTCTTATCTTTGCCTCGTTCATCGCTCTCACCGTCCGCTGAGACAACAGGTGCGGCGGCCAAGTTTAGATGCACTCATGGTTAAAATTACCACATTTTCACATACTTTGATTTACTTCCATTCACCAAAATAATGCAAGATAACGTGTGTGTGTGTGTGAAGATGATGTTACCATTAACTAAAGGAGGCCAGTACTAGTCTTCCATATAAAGGAAGTACGAGTATAAATAAAACTTTAATGAGTGACTTGGGGTAGATGCGGACGCCTGGGGGACAAGGCCCGGGGCAGTGTGAGGAAGAGACCTCGATACTAGGCTCACTCTCTCGTCTTATCCAGCTTCACTAAACGAGTATTTCCAGGAAGAAATGTTCCTGGCGATGTTGCGAGATGAGGATTTAGTGTAATTGTCGTAGAACGCGGGTTGGGTGGGCATAGTGTAGGCGTGAGAAGGTTGGGGTGTGCGGGCGTGCAAAGTTGGGCACCCGCTACCGGCTGGGACGACGCACGGCGCGAGGTTCCCACGAGGCGGCCCGGACGCGACGCTCCCACCTACCACCTTTATCTTATATAATTTTTATTCCTTACAGTGAACATATTTTAAGAAATAAGTACATTAGAATACCTCGTAACTAAAAGAGGCTTCGCAACAACACAAAGTATTGATGTTCTCTGTGTTTTCTCTCGGAGTTGAAAAAGCTTCCTCACCACTTGGCAACTGAGGAAACATCTTGGCATGCTATATATAGGAGCGAGCGTCGTGTCAACATTAGATCTTACATACTATTGGTAGCGGACGGTCGTGCTGAGCTGCTCTCCCATCTCTGGTGTCTCTGTGAAACAATATTCCTCCAGTGGACGAACTATAAGTGACATAATGGTGTCTTCAGTGCACGTTGAGCCGGTGTCTCGGACTGACCAGTACAAACGGGTGATGAAGCCCATGCTGGAGAGGAAGAGAAGGGCTCGTATAAACCGCTGCCTGGATGAGCTGCGAGACCTCCTGGTGGCGGCGCTGCAGGCGGAGGGTGAAACCGTCACGCGCCTCGAAAAGGCTGATATTTTGGAGCTGACAGTCCGTCACGTTCGGCGTCTTAACCAGAGGCGCTGCCTGACGCTGCCCCCGGGTGGTCACGACCCGCGCCACGACGCCCTTAAGTTCCAGCAAGGCTTTGTAGCGGCAGCACAGCAGGTGCAGTCTTTCCTCATCGCTTCACCATCGCTGGAGCCATCAGTATCCTCACGACTCATCACTCACCTAACATCCTGCGCCTCGGCTATATCTGGGGTGCCCTCGTCTCCCCCAGCCACTGCAGCGCCCTCTACAGGGTCACCTTCTGCACCTCCCGTGGTTGTAACAGCCCCTCGACCTGCTCCCGTCCGACAGGTAATTCTTCCCTCTGCTTCCCCGCCTATGTCTCCGCCTCCACTCATGGACCTGAGCATGAAGCCCGCGCCCAAACTAGTGGCGCCCACGCCCATCCGCGAGATGCCCCAGGACCTATCAATGCGGCGGCCAGCCCCCAGGGACCAGGCAGACCAGCACTTCGACGGAATTAAGGGGTCGTGGAGGCCTTGGTGATCACTACAAGTTACAGACGATATTGTGATTAGATTTCTTGGTTCTGACGCAGCAGGAATGGTCCTATTTTTTCCCTGCGAGAGCTGTGGACAATGGAGTGCCATTCGTCGGCGCCAGAGTGGAGCGCACAACGTGTGGATTCGACGTGCCAAATTGGAGCCAGCCATGTGTAGGGAGTGCCTCGTAGAGCTTTGAGTACAAGGTGTGAGAGCTGTGAGTGTAGGAGGCAGCAGCACCCGAGGGCTGGCACCCTCACCTCTCCAGTGTGTATTGTGATACAAGAGTTTGTGATAGTTCATAGCTATTTTTGTACATATGTCTAATGTTTTGCACTGTGATAATGTAACGATTAAAAAATGTTACCTTTCGCCACTGTATATACAAAAACTACATTGATCCTTCTTGAAAGGAAGACAACTCCGAGAGTCTTTCATGAAATGTACAAAGATAGAAGTATTAAGTGTTAGGTTTGTGGAGGTACGAGCCACAGCCTTGCAACAGTATATAGATCTGAGTAGAAGGTTCACTGTTTGTGTTAGACATAATCATGATCGTCTGTAGTTACAAACACGATCGGATGCCCATTCATGTCACAAGATTTGTTAAGTTTAAGTTGTGTATTTGACCTGCAACCACTACTTAATTCTCTCTTACTTGTTTGGTATATAGTGACCTACGGGAAAGGCCTGCAGACCCTGGGGTTCCCGAGTGACCCATGGGAAGGCCTTGAGGCTCCGGGAGGGGGTGCAGACCACATGTATTATTTGTGATATTCACTTCTGTGATGGAAATAAAAGACTTGATTCTTCTTACCCATTGTTTATTGAATCCTTATACATATGTGTGTGTGTGTGTACTCAATTGTGATTGCAGGGGTCGATTCATAGCTCCTGGCCCTGCCTCTTCACTGCGTGTGTGTGTGCGCACCTAATTGTGATTGCAGGGATCGATTCATAGCTCCTGGCCCCGCCTCTTCACTGTGTGTGTGTACTCACCTAATTGTGATTGCAGGGGTCGATTTATGGCTCCTGGCCCTGCCTCTTCACTGTGTGTGTGTGTGTCCTTGGGTTGAAGCTGAAGTCCTTCCATTCCCCAGGTGTCGATGTGGCCCATACGGGCTTAGCCCTTCCCTTGACTGAAATTGCGTGCTCCATGACTCCTAAGGGTTTAGCACTTGGAGAGGTGTGTGTGAAAGTAAAACAGGTTCTGAAGACCATATAAATAAATCGCCAGGTATATACACTGAGAGGTGTATATTTCTCAGTCTATATACACAAGTTTATTTTAATGTATTTAGGGATGATTAACTGAAGGTTACATACAGGTTACCTGAAGGCTGAAGGTTACAGGTTACCTGAGGGTTACAGATTAACTGAAGGTTACATACAGGTTACCTGAGGGTTACAGATTAACTGAAGGTTACAGGTTACCTGAACGTTACAGGTTACCTGAACGTTACAGGTTACCTGAAGGCTACAGGTTACCTTAAGGTTACAGGTTACCTGAAAGTTACAGGTTACCTGAAGGTTACAGATTACCTGAAAGTTACAGGTTACCTGAAGGCTACAGGTTACCTTAAGGTTACAGGTTACCTGAAAGTTACAGGTTACCTGAAGGTTACAGATTACCTGAAAGTTACAGGTTACCTGTAGGTTACAGGTCACCCGGAGGTTACAGGTGAACTCGAGCTTTGCTGACCCCACGTACAGAGGTGCTGTATGACCCCTGCGGGTATAGCGCTCTCCCCAAATTATAATCACATAAAACGCTAAAAAAAACACTAAAAAATACTACAAGTTCCTGAAATTCCTGACCAGAATGGTTGTCGGACTGCGTGCGGTCAACAGTAACAACCTGCTTGATCAGGCCTTAGTTCATCAGGCCTGGTCTAGGACCGTTCATTGGGGCGTTGACCCCCATTTAGGCATCCTTCAGGTATCCCCCAGGATGACACGGAGCCTCCAGGAGTATGCCTGTTTAGGTCCTGTAGTGATGTGACATCATTTCACATACGTGCTACCTGGGTGAAGTGCACGTTCACAGTGCATCAGGCCCTCTGATGTCATCAATGTTCACAGTGCACGAGGCTCTCTTATGTCATCAATGTTCACAGTGCACCAGGCTTCCTTATGTCATCAATGTTCACAGTGCACGAGGCTTTCTTATGTCATCAATGTTCACAGTGCACCAGGCTTTCTTATGTCATCAATGTTCACAGTGCACGAGGCTTTCTTATGTCATCAATGTTCACAGTGCACCAGGCTTTCTTATGTCATCAATGTTCACAGTGCACGAGGCTTTCTTATGTCATCAATGTTCACAGTGCACCAGGCTTTCTTATGTCATCAATGTTCACAGTGCACCAGGCTTTCTTATGTCATCAATGTTCACAGTGCACCAGGCTTTCTTATGTCATCAATGTTCACAGTGCACCAGGCTTCCTTATGTCATCAATGTTCACAGTGCACCAGGCTTTCTTATGTCATCAATGTTCACAGTGCACCAGGCTTCCTTATGTCATCAATGTTCACAGTGCACCAGGCTTTCTTATGTCATCAATGTTCACAGTGCACCAGGCTTCCTTATGTCATCAATGTTCACAGTGCACCAGGCTTTCTTATGTCATCAATGTTCACAGTGCACGAGGCTCTCTTATGTGATCAATGTTCACAGTGCACCAGGCTTCCTTATGTCATCAATGTTCACAGTGCACCAGGCTTTCTTATGTCATCAATGTTCACAGTGCACCAGGCTTCCTTATGTCATCAATGTTCACAGTGCACCAGGCTTTCTTATGTCATCAATGTTCACAGTGCACCAGGCTTTCTTATGTCATCAATGTTCACAGTGCACGAGGCTCTCTTATGTGATCAATGTCTACGGTACACCAGGTACCCTGAATGCTATTTACAGTACACATGACTTCGTAGGTGCTTCCAGGGTGTGTGTGTGTTAGTTATCATTTGGTCCTAGGCATATGTTGATTAGACACTAGGCCTGTTGTATGTGCATGCGTGTGTGTGTATGTATGTATGTGTGTGTGTGTGTGTGTGTGTGTGTGTGTGTGTGTGGTGTGTGTGTGGTGTGTGTGTGTGTCTGTGTGTGTGTGTGTGTGTGTGTGTGTGTGTGGTGTGTGTGTGGTGTGTGTGTGTGTGTCTGTGTGTGTGTGTGTGGTGTGTGTGTGTGTGTGTGTGTGTGTGTGTGTGTGTGGTGTGTGTGTGTGTGGTGTGTGTGTGTGTCTGTGTGTGTGTGTGTGTGTGTGTGTGTAGTGTATGTGTGTATGTGTATGTGTGTGTGGGTGTGTGGTGTGTGTGTGTGTGTGGTGTGTACTCACCTAATTGTGGTTGCAGGGGTCGAGACTCAGCTCCTGGCCCCGCCTCTTCACTGAGTGCTACTAGGTCCCCTCTCTCCCTGCTCCATGAGCTTTATCATACCTCATCTTAAAGCTATGTATGGTTCCTGCCTCCACTACCTCACTTGCTTGACTATTCCACTTCCTGACTACTCTGTGACTGAAGAAATACTTCCTAACATCCCTATGACTCATCTGGGTCTTCAACTTCCAATTGTGACCCCTTGTTTCTGTGTCCCCTCTCTGGAACATCCTGTCTCTGTCCACCTTGTCTATTCCACGCAGCATTTTGTATGTTGTTATCATGTCTCCCCTAACCCTCCTGTCCAGTGTCGTCAGACCGATTTCCCTTAACCTTTCTTCGTAGGACATTTCCCTTAGCTCTGGAACTAACCCTGTCGCAAACCTTTGCACTTTCTCTAATTTCTTGACGTGCTTGTTCAAGTGTGGGCTCCAAACAGGTGCTGCATACTCCAATATGGGCCTGACGTACACAGTGTACAGTGTCTTGAACGATTCCTTACTAAGGTATCGGAACGCTATTCTCGGTTTTACCAGGCGCCCGTATGCTGCAGCAGTTATCTGGTTGATGTGTGCTTCCGGAGACGTGCTCGGTGTTATACTTATCCCAAGATCTTTCTCCTTGAGCGAGGTTTGCAGTCTTTGGCCACCTAGCCTATACTCCGCCTTCGGTCTTCTTTGTCCTTCCCCGATCTCCATGTCCTTGCATTTGGCGGGGTTAAATTCGAGAAGCCAGTTGCTGGACCAGGTGTCCAGCCTGTCCAGGTCTCTTTGAAGTCCTACCTGATCCTCACCTGATTTAATTCTCCTCATTAACTTCACATCATCTGCGAACAAGGACACCACTGAGTTTAACCCTTCCATCATGTCATTCACATATACCAGAAATAGCACTGGTCCTAGGACAGACCCCTGTGGGACCCCACTCGTCACAGGTGCCCACTGTGATACCTCATCACGTACCATGACTCGTTGTTGCCTCCCTGTCAGGTATTCTCTGATCCGTTGCAGCGCCCTTCCTGTTATACGCGCCTGATCCTCTAGCTTCTGCACAAATCTCATGTGAGGAACTGTGTCGAAGGCCTTCTTGCAGTCCAAGAAGATGCAATCAACCCACCCCTCTCTCTCTCGTGTCTTCTGTTACTTTATCATAAAACTCCAGTAGGTTTGTGGCACAGGATTTGCCTTCCATGAATCCGTGCTGGTTGGCGTTTATACTCTTGTTCTATTCCAGGTGCTCCACCACTCTCCTCATAATCTTCTCCATGACTTTGCATACTATGCACGTCAGTGACACTGGTCTATAGATTATTGCCTCTTTTCTGTCTCCTGTTTTAAATATGGGTACTACATTTGCCGTCTTCCAGACCTTAGGTAGTTACCCAGTTTCAAGGGATGTGTTCAAGATTGTGGTTAGTGACACACACAGCATTTCTGCTCCCTGTGTGTGTGTGTGTGTTTGTGCGTGCTCTTCGGGTGGAGGGAAGGGTAGGTGCTCCGTGCTGCAGTGGACTCACAACCCAAGCACCCGGGTTCAATCTCAGGCGAAATGGGCTGGGGCCAGTCTTCCTACACCTGTTGCCTCTGTGGGACACATCTTGGGGAAGAGAAGGTTACCTGGTTACCTGGAGGTTATTCCGGGGATCAACGCCCCCGCGGCCCGGTCCATGACCAGGCCTCCCGATGGATCAGGGCCTGATCAACTAGGCTGTTACTGCTGGCCGCACGCAGTCCAACGTACGAGCCACAGCCCGGCTGATCCGGCACTGACTTTAGGTATCTGTCCAGCTCTCTCTTGAAGGCAGCCAGGGGTTTATTGGCAATTCCCCTAATGCTTGATGGGAGGCTGTTGAACAGTTTTGGGCCCCGGACACTTATGGTGTTTTCCCTTAGTGTACCAATGGCGCCCCTACTTTTTATTGGGGGCATTTTGCATCGCCTGCCCAGTCTTTTACTTTCGTAGGGAGTGATTTCTGTGTGCAGATTTGGGACCATTCCTTCCAAGATTTTCCAAGTGTAGATTATGATATATCTCTCCCTCCTGCGTTCCAACGAGTACAAGTCAAGTGCTTCCAAGCGTTCCCAGTAGTTAAGGTGCTTGACAGAACTTAAACGTGCAGTAAAGGATCTCTGTACACTCTCTTGATCTGCGATTTCACCTGCTTTGAATGGAGATGTTAATGTACAGCAGTATTCCAGCCTAGAGAAAACAAGTGATTTGAAAAGGATCATCATGGGCTTGGCATCTCTCGTTTTGAAAGTTCTCATTATCCATCCTATCATTTTCTTTGCACGTGCGATCGTGGCACTGTTGTGATCCTTGAAAGTGAGATCCTCAGACATTACTACTCCCAGGTCCCTTACATTATTTTTCCGCTCTATTGTATGGCCGGAGTCAGTAGTATACTCTGTTCTAGTTATTATCTCCTCCAGTTTTCC